AAAAAGTCACCCTCGAGATTTTTCAGGATTTTACTCTAAATTGTCTACTTTTCTTGTGAAAGCAAATTTTGATTTCTCTATGGAAAATCTCTGTTGTTTATTTTCCGTAGCCATTGCCGAAGTACTCTTCATTTGAAGATGAACGGGAGAAAGCACGTGTCATGTTTCTAATATATACATGAGGTTCTCGGGGTCGTTTCATGATTATTTTACAAAGCTGGATCTACAAGATGTAACGGTTTAGTTGCAATGCATGATGGAAAACTTTAAAAAATGAAAAATAAGCAACAAGAACACCGAGTCACATGGAGTAGATCTAGAAATTGCACTTACTTTTAAGCTTAATAGAATCCGATGAACTTTATAAACGTCACGACAAATTCGCATATGAAGATTCCTTCATTGCCAGTTTCTATCCAGTTCCGTAGATCCCACTTTTTGACTTCAAAAATCCTTAATGACATGAGTCATGACTCCTACACTTTTGATGATCCAGATTTTTATGCTCCCCGAAAAAATTTCGGGGGAGCATATAGTCGCCGCCTTGTCCGTCCGTCCGTCTTTCCGTCCGTCCGTCCGTCCCCTTTTCTTGTCCGGGACATAACTTTGAAACAACAAGAGGTATCAACATGAAACTTTGTAGGTAGATAGATCTCATTGAGTAGAAGTGCAGTGCACAAGAACCGTAACTCTGCCTTGCCTAATTTTTGAATTATTCCCCTTTGTTTATTTTTACACTTTGAACTTTGTCCGGGACATAACTCTAAAAGTATAAGAGGTATCAACATGAAACTTTGTAGGTAGATAGATCTCATTGAGTAGAAGTGCAGTGCACAAGAACCATAACTCTGCCTTGCCTAATTTTTGAATTATCCCCCTTTGTTTATTTTACACTTTGAACTTTGTCCGGGACATAACTCTAAAAGTATAAGAGGTATCAACATGAAACTTTGTAGGTAGTTAGATCTCATTGAGTAGAAGTGCAGTGCACAAGAACCATAACTCTGCCTTGCCTAATTTTTGAATTATCCCCCTTTGTTTATTTTACACTTTGAACTTTGCCCGGGACATAACTCTAAAAGTATAAGAGGTATCAACATGAAACTTTGTAGGTAGATAGATCTTATTGAGTAGGTGTGCAGTGCAAAAGAACCGTAACTCTGTCTTGCCTTATTTTTGAATTATTGCCCTTAGTTTATTTTTACACTTTGAAATTTGTCCGAGACATAACTCTAAAATTATAAATAATATCAACATTAAACTTTGTAGGTAGATAGGTCTCATTGAGTAGAAGTGCAGTGCACAAGAACCGTAACTCTGCCTTGCCTAATTTTTGAATTATCCCCCTTTGTTAATTTTACACTTTGAACTTTGTCCGGGTGATAACTCTAAAAGTATAAGAGATATCAACATGAAACTTTGTAGGTAGATAGATCTCATTGAGAAGGTGTGCAGTGCACAAGAACCATAACTCTGCCTTGTCTAAATTTTGAATTATCTCCCTTTGTTTATTTTACACTTTGAACTTTGTCCGGGACATAACTCTAAAAGTATAAGAGGTATCAACATGAAACTTTGTAGGTAGATAGATCTCATTGAGTAGGTGTGCAGTGAACAAGAACCTTAACTCTGCCTTGCCTAATTTTTGAATTATCTCCCTTTGTTTATTTTTACACTTTGAACTTTGTCCGGGACATATTTCTTAATGTATAAGAGATATCAACATGAAACTTTGTAGGTAGATAGATCTCATTGAGTAAGTTTGCAGTGCACAAGAACTGTAACACTGTCTTGCCTACTTTTGTAGTTATTGCCCTTTGTTCATTTTGACACTTTGAACTTTGTCTGGGACATTACTCTAAAATTATAAGAGATATCAACATGAAACTTTGTAGATAGATAGGTCTCATTGGGTGGAAGTGCAGTGCTTAAGAATCATTACTCTGCCTTGCCTTATTTTGAAGTAATTGCCCTTTGTTTATTTTTACTTTTTGACTTTTGTCCTGGACATTACTTTAAAACTATTAGAGATATCAACATGAAACTTTGTAGGTAGCTAGATATAATTGGATAGAACTGCAACGCTTCAAGAACCTAAACAAAGCCTGGTCTAATTTTGGAGTAATTGCCCTTTGTTCATTTTTTTTATACTTTCCTGTGTCCAGAACCTTCTCGGGGAGCATCACCCGGTTCAACCGGTTCTTGTTTAAACTGATAATCCGTCTCATTATTAAAACATTCTTCAATTTGTGGAGTTATCTGGTTAGCAAATGAAATATGTAAATGAAACACATCATAATTCAGCATGTTCCAAATCCATAATTCAAGAACGGCCCATAAATTTTAGTTGTCTACATCACAATGCTTATGGATTCCTCACGAAAAAAAACTTTATTACGTCAACAACAATTGACGAAATATATGACGTAACAAAAATGCCTCGCGCTTTTTATGGATGATTACAGTTGCGGCATTGACAGAGGGCGGTTAGGCATATGTAACCTCAAACAGATCATTTTAAGCGTTGAGATAAATTTGTCTTGATGGCATTTAAAATAATTTTTGTAAACCCAGATTTTGCAAATTCCACGTTCAATTCATATATTAATAATATAAAACTTTTGATAGATTTCTAACATTTAAAAATAATTTTAAACACACTTAAAATGACATGAATCTTCAACAGTACAATACTTCTTTCATTAACTACATATAAAATTCGTTTTGATTTTATGTTTTTGAACATTTTTTATATTTCTCAGAAATAGTTTCCCTACATATTTATCGTTATTCAAGACTTCTGTAAATCTTACTCTTTTAGCTACAAAATATACAATACGTGGTATTTTTCTCCTGCGAAAAATATGCTAGATTTTAGATCTTTTGTTTTTGTAAAACACTGAATATTTTCAAATTTTAGGAAGGCTAAAATTATTGAGAACGTCACTTGATGTTTCTCTTTGACTCGATCTACCCTTCATATAAACAAAATAATTATTTAGTGTCCAGCTATATTTGTCATCCAATGAAAACGCTGTATTTCTTAAAAATTATGTGTGTTAATTTTCATAGAAGAAAAAAAGTCGATACTATATTGAAATCCGTTCATAGTCGCCTTCTATTTTTCATAGTGCTTCATAGTACCGCGTAGTGACGTAATCAAGGGCCAAATAAAACTTGACACTAAATATGTTAGTGTTCATCTTTACCTGTTCTATAGAAATTAGAAACATTCTCCTGTCGCTATAGCTCCCTTCGAAGTTTCTAATTTCTGTAGAACAGCACGGATGAACACTAACATATACATGTAACATTTTGTGTCTACAAAAAAACCACTTATTGTCGCTTATTGAACACTCCAATTCAAACTTTCTCTTAATAATATCAAATCACTGCCGGTATTTTCTGGACATTTTGTTGAATTGCGAGACGGAAAGATAAACATGTATTTACGAGCTTAAAGTGAATAGCCTTCGTTTGATTGCTTAAACTAGAAAGCATGATATTATATTCTTATAATTTACATTTTCCCCGAACGCGAGTCTGTGTTCTCCGTTAGCGACGGAGTTAGTTAAAGTAGACACTGTGGTAACAAGCAAACCAATGGTGAACATATAATGAATCATTTTTCTTAATATTTTTTTGTCAGATTTGCATGATAATGTAGTATTTGTTGGCATTTTCTTGTGAAAGTTGAAACCTACGGAAAGTTTTAGTGCACGAACATCGCACCCGAAATAAGAAGGGTAACATATTTTTGTATCCCATCGAACGTGGTCAATTTATTAATTTTTGAATAGACGTGATGCACACTAATGGACAGAATTCAGACAACTACAGAATTATTTAAATTAAACATTGATTAGCAAAGAACCATTTTTATAGTCTTCTAGCTGGTATTCCCGCTCCCCTACGACGCGTTGCGGTATTCAAGATACGCGCTTGATTGAAAAGCTATAATCAAATCACTTTCTTAAAAAAATATGAAATACGACATTATATCATGGTAACTAATTAAATCTTTGTGTGTTAGAATTTATAAACCTTACTGATATTTTCACTTCAAATGATTTTGATTATTTTAAATAATGGTTTGCTAGTAAAATTGCCTTTTTGACTCCAACTTTGTTGTCATTTTTCATTTTAATGATAACCTTTAGCTATTGACCAGTAAGTGAATAAGGATAATATTTTTTTATAATTACCGAGTATATTTCACGCTAATTGTGAGACGAACCCTAAATGACGTCTATATGGGCGCCGCCATTTTGAAATGGACGTCACGTCAGGTTACAACGTATGTCAACGGGAAAAAATATAATTTTAGCATTTTGACAACATTCGTGACTTTATGAAAAAAATGAAAAACATGCCTAGAGATATTGACGTCAGGGTTAACATGACATTAATTTAAATGATTTTACTATTATATTAAATAAAAAATGGAATGTTCAAATTTGATGGGACAGACTATAATATGTACTAAACAGCCTAGTTATTTTATCAAACTATTACAATACTTATTATTATATAATTTATAGGAACAATGACACAATTAACCATAAAGCTCAAAATCATGTGATATCTTTGTTCCATTTGCATAAATGTGTACAGAAGAGTCTGTATCAAATGACCAGGAAAATGTTGATCAGATATTTAATGGTTTTTATGTAATCTAGTAATGTGTTGGTATGTCATCTGATGACTCAAAGGTCTAAATAGATAGTGCCATATGATTTACAAAGACACTATAAGAAAATTGATTGAATTACTAAGATATTACTAACAATGGTAGAGATGTTGAAATATATTTATATCCCCACAAAACATAGTTTTTGGGGCTTTATGGGAATCACTTTGTCTTGTCCCATCCTGTCCTGTTCCATTCCATTATGTCAGGAACTACTAGAGGTTGGAACTTCAAAAATGTACCCCTTTGTCATTTTAAGTAATTCTGTCAAGATTTAAGAAATGAATGACTGATGTCTGTGTAATTTCAGGTACCACACCACCACCAACTACCACACCACCACCAACTACCACACCACCACCAACTACCACACCACCACCACCATCAGCTCCATCTACCACTCCTCCATCTACAACCAACAAATCTCCAGATATAGTTATAATTATAGTTCCATGTGTTTTAGGAGGGGTTGCTGTTATTGTGGTTCTAATAAGTGTTATAGTCTGCCTACGGAGAAAAACTAATAGAAAGAAGAACAACAGGAATGTCCCAGATATTGATAATACTTACATGTCCTCATTTTGACAATAAATGTAGAAACAAAACAACAAAATATTATGACAATAATGATGATTTGTTTATATTAGAAATGTCAAATACAAGATATCTAAATAAAAAAAACACATTTCCCAGTTTCTTGCACAGAACTTTCCTAGATTTTTATATCTGTCTTCTAAATGGTTTGTTTTGGTCTTGAAAAAGTGATGATAACTTCACAAATGTATTTCTCTTGACATTCCATTATATTACTATATTGAATTTATTGTTGCATGTTCAGACCTATCATTTATCAAGATTTTGCACTGAAAGTCCAGATCCATGTATCAAACTTCAGAAATATTACATTTTAGACGGAAAACTTCCAATATGGGTGAAATTGGTAACTCTTTTACAAACTTTTCTGTAGATATGTCGTGAAAAATTTACTTCTCCTACAACTATGTTTCCTTTAAGCATATGAGATGTGATCAATGCTCTGATGTTCTTTGAATTATATCTTTTCTAAAAGAAATCAAAATGGACAAAATTTTACCAAAGAATAAATATTGTATTTTGATTGTGCTTGTGTTAAAATATTATTTTTATATGTCCGAAAGAATTTCGGGCATATAATGTTATACCCCCTGGCGTCCGTCCGTCTGTCTGTCTTTTTAATCCGCACTCACAGGACAGTAATTTTGCGGCTAGAGGGACAATAGGTAACTGTTCTATCTCTTTGATGTCATTCATTCTGTAATTCTTTTATGTGGCTATTTTCTTTTGTATGGCTAAAAAGAACAATAGAGAGAACAATAGAGTAGCCACATAATTACTGTCCTGTGAGAACGTCTGTCTTTTAGCAAATTGGTTTCCGGAGCATAACTTAAGTTCCATTTGGCCCACAATATTCAAACTTTATAGGATGATTGTCCATATTGGGTAGAAGACCCCTATTGATTTTGGGGTCATTAGGTCAAAGGTCGAGGTCACCATTACTTTAAAACTGAAAACAGTTTCTGGAGCAGAACTTAAGGTCTATTTGGCCAACAATATCCAAACTTCATTGGATGATTGGCCATATTGGGTAGAAGACCCCTATTGATTTTGGGGTCACAAGGTCAAAGGTCAAGGTAACTATTACTTTAAAACTGAAAACAGTTTCCAGAACATAACCTTATTTCTATTGGGCCCATAGTGTTCAAACTTCATAGGATGATTGTCCATATTGGGTAGATCACCCTTATTGATTTTTGGGTCACAAGGTCAAAGTTCAAGGTCGCTATTACCTCAAAACTGAAAACAGTTTCCAGAGCATAACTTTAGTTCTATTTGGCCAACCATACTTAAACTTTATAGGAGGGTTGCTATTTTAAGGAGGTAATACTTTATTTAATTTATGTTATGTCTTACAAATGCTTCATCCTTACTTAAAAAAAAAAACAAAAAAAACTTTCAGGCATATAATGCTCCGCCTCGCGGTGCTATTGTTTGCTTTATAAAATGGTCAAAGATTAAGAGCAAATAATAAATCTTTCAATTGTTTCTCCTGTTTATACATCCTGTTGATGTAAACCTGAAAGACCATACTTATCATGGAAGACAAATTCATGTATCAAAGTATAAGCATTTGTTGAGAATGTAATTGTATCTTAATCAAATATAGACTATTAATTATTGTCATGAATGATTTACCTCTGTATAAGGTATTTGTCTGAAACTTGTTTAACAGGAAAATTTGATAAGAATAATAAAATAGTTGCAATATAGCAGAAATCTGCAATAATATTTGTTAATATCATACTTGTTCTGAAAATGTGCCATGATTTTGTTGTGTTATCATTGATATATTGGTTGTAATTTTGTATTTGGATTTTACAAGAAATAAATATAGTGTTTAATTATTTACTTATTTTTGATGATGTTTTTCCATTTCCTTTATTTATAATGGTAATTGTCTAATTGATAAATACATTATTGGTCTTTACTGACATCAAAACCAAAATGAACTGATATTCTGACCTTAATGATATCAATTTACACACTTAGTCGTAATTCATTTTCTCATCAATTCATGAACACATAATGAATTTGTACTTTTGTAGCAATTTGTTTCTGATAACATCATGTATTACAATACACATAAATAGTATTCAGAGGCAAAGTCCTCAAGGTGAGCTTTTGTGATGGCCTTTGTCCGTCGTCCATTGTGCATATGTGTGCCAACAATGTCCTTAAACAACTTCTCTTAAACCATGTGGCCAAAATTTTGATTTGAACGCCATGTTTATTTACAATCCCCTGTCTTGATTACTGATACAGCCAAAATGCACATTAAGCAGGAGAAATTATTTGTGAAAGGTTGGAACATGTATTTTGTAATTTTGTAATATATGCACCATTTCAAAAAATTAATGGACAAACCATGATACAACCATGGTGAAAACATGCTTTATGACCAGGTCGCAAAATACGTTGAAATGATACAATACTGTTTTCGAAGGAAATGGTCATGATTGATATCATTTTAGAACACTATTCAGTGTAACTTTCGAATTATGAAACTGGGAAAATTCGGAAACTTCAGAAATCTGAACTATTTTCATGGTTCCTTAATTTCTCTTTCTAATTTCTATGTAACTCATACCTATGAATTCTCCAGATTTACTTCTGAATTCCTAATGATTTTCTGGTAAAATTTGGGTTAATTATCAATTAAACTTGAAATCTGAAAATTAATGATTATAGATCCTTTCTACCCGAGATTAAAAAACATGCATAATGTCATTATCTTCCATTTAGAAATAGCCATAAATCTTGACTGTGACCAATTACAATCAGTACCTTCCAAGATGTCAAACCGTTGCTTTTCATTTTGGTGAGAAAATTATAAAAACTGAGAAGCATCATTATTGTGAAAAAAAGATTACACTAATAGCTGGTACAATATTTAACATGGGAAATGGACAAAAGCCCTCCCATCCAAAAATGACAAGGGGACTAAAGCCTTCCCATGAAAATGACAGGGCGGACAAAAGCTGATTCAGGGAAAAAGACATGGCTAATTGCCCAAACTTATCGATTAAAGCTTAATTCTATCTGTGATTGATTAAATTTATGAAGCTTTAATACAGTCCAACCCCATTTATTCGAAGTGCCGGGGACTGAAAATTTACTTCTAATAATTGATGGGTTCGAATAATAGAAATCGGAATATGGTGATAGACAAGAAATACTCCATTTTGACCAATCATAGCAAAACTTCCGTTTACAACAGACATACTTCCTGCAATCATTTGAGAAAAATAAATGTTAAAGAAAAGATGCGTAGAAGTTATTTTATTGGCATTGAAGACATAAATACTTGCATTTTATTCTACATTTTGTATCATTCGTTTCGTTTTTGTATCGTTTCTTTTCATGCAAAAAATAGAGAAAATGAGAATCCCTTAAAAGCCATGATATAGCCGTATTGTCACTACGGTATTTAAAGTTAAACTCTGGTATTTTTGATTAGGGTAAGGCTCTCATATAGCGTTACAATTAATGAAAAAAAAAGTTTTGGATGTTTTGACAAATTAACATAATTATACGGTATTTATGAAAATTAGCGCTGTCATCTTCAAGTAATAACAGTACCAACATCGGACACGGTGAATTAATTTTCAGATTTCAACATCGGACACAGTAATGTTTAAATTAAAGTTGATTAAAGAACACACAAAGCGTAATTATCATGATTGTCTAAGTACACATATGACTGTTGATATTTTTTCGCAAGTCGACCAGTCAGTAAGTGGATCTGCACCTCTTAGTCTGGCTTGGAATAATAGGTGTGAAATTCTTTCATAATTGTATAATCGGGACCAAAATTTTACTTCGAAAAATAGGAGGTATTTGGATACTGCATTTCAAATAATACGCTGGTATTTATATTGATTTATATAAAGATAAAAACGGGACCGCCAATATACTTTGGATAATGCTGGGTATTCAAATAAAGGGTTGTCGAATAACCAGGGTAGGACTGTACTTTAAAAAAAAAATAGAAAAAATGTTAATAATTATTGACGTTTTGTCTTGTTTATGTTGGCATTAAATTTGCAAGTTGTAAATTATAGTAATATAGGTTGTATGCCACTATGTAAATTTTAGAAACAATTTGCTTGCTGGTGAATGCATTTTCGAAATTATGCCATTTATTCTTTTATTCTGCAAGTTACCAAGGCAACTTGCCGGAAACCATATATCATCTGAGTCAGCATATGCATTCCAAAAAGTTTCTTCGCATAATTATTTATTAAACTTTCCATAATTTGTAGCATAAACATATAGTCCAACCCGATTATTTGAATTTCCAGGGACTGAAAAATTACTTTGCAATATCGATGGGTTTGATTAATCAAAATCCTAATATTGTGATAGACGAAAACTACTCAACTTCGGCCAATCATAGCAAAACTACCGTTTACAATTTTTTATTGGTATTGAAGACATAAATAAACATTTTATTCTACATTATGTTTCGTTTTGTGTAAAGCCTTAATAATAGCTGTGTTGTCACTACGGTTTTTACAGCTAAACCCAGGTGTTTTCGATAAGGGTAAAGGCTTACATGTATCGTTACAATCGGTGGAGAAGAAAAAAAATTGATAAGTTCAGAAATAGATTTTTCATGAAAATTATTGCTGTCATCTTCAAGCAATAGCAGTAACAACATACATGTAGGACACTGCAGTTATTTTAATTTTCGGTTAATATAGTTAATTAAAGAACACGCAATGAATAATTATCATGATTGGCTATATACACACATTATGCAATTTCATCGAAACTTTACAGGATTGATCTGTAGATCCAGTACTTTGGCATATTACATGGGTTTTCAGGTTGAAGATTTTTGGTGGACTTATGGACCTTGAAGAAAAAGGTGTTAATAAAATTTGTTCTGACTACTCCTCTTATACCACTAATTCCATTTAATGAAACTTTACAGGATTGATCAGTAGCTGAAGTACTTGCGCATATTACACAGGTTTTCTGGTTGAAAGATTTTCAGCCAAGTTATGTCCCTTGGTTAAAAAATATGTTTTGCCCTGTTAATGATTTTGTGATTCCTGCTACAAAGT